AGAGAAGGAAAGGAAAAAAATAAGACGTAAATTGGCTGTGCCCTTTTTCTATAGAATAATATTTATTCTTATTATTTTTTATTATTATATTAATCTTATTATTATGTTATCAATTTGTTTTTATTTTATCGCGCGTTACGCAAATATTTGCGTAATTTTTGTCCAAAGATTTTATTTACCATTTTTATCGAGATTTTTTTTTTTACATTTGCAATTTACTGATATAAGAAGCTTACATTTTAACATTATTATTTATTTAAACGAACCTGTCGAGCTTTCCTTTTAAACTAATTGTGTCTATCGAAGAAAAGAACAAAAAAAAAAATAGAATTAAATTTAACAACGACGAATTTATTTAATTGCAAAAAGAAGAAGAAGAAAAATTCTCAACGCTAATAAATAAATTTCTTTTCTTTTCTTTTCTTTTTTTTATTTGTGAAAGAGAGAAGAACCTGACGTTGTTCCTCTTTGTCGGAATACTCGATTAAGTCCTGAGAAAAGATTCTTTTTAAGATCGTTAGAGAAAAAAAGAAAAAGAAAAAAAAGTGCAAAGAAAAGGGAAACAGAAGTTAAAAAAAAAAAAGAAAAGAGAACAAACTTTTATCAGCAGTATTTAATCTCGTAAAAAAGAGTGAGAGAGAGAGAGAGAGAGAGAAGAGTTACGTTTAGATAAGTACAAAGAGATTAGCGTGAGAAAAGAAAAAGAAGAAGAAGAAAAAGAAAAAAAAAGAAACCAGGTGAAACGACGAATATTTCGTTGTCGCGAAAAATTGTTGAATTCAATTTTCTTGCACAGTTGAATCATTCTTCTCGATGATTGGTGGTCTCTCTCACGATACACCGTTTCGAACATTTAAAAACGTGAATATGTATATATAATATATACGAGTTCTGCCCTAAGTATTAAAAAAAATAATAATAATAATATACACGTGTTAAATATGGGTGTGTCATGGAAAGAAAAGAACAAAAAAAAAAAGAAAAGTAATTTAAAATAATCTTACAAAGGATTCCACCCCCTACCCCTCTCCCTTCCCCATATCGTAGTTTTTATCACTATGAATCGTAGATGTGTTTTTATCATCGTTCCCTACAGAGAATTATTGTTCTCTCACCTGGAGATAATATATTATTTAAGGATAATTCAATGACATGGTGGTATAGTGAACTCCTCATTAAAATAATTACATACATATATAGAATTATAATATACGTGTATAAGGGTTTATATTTTATGTACACAGTAGAACCTCGATTAATATTATTATATTTCGAATTAATCCAAAAAGAAATAAATAAAAACGTGTAGAGAATACTGTAAAGGAATAATGATAAGGATGAGGAAAAAAAGAAATAATAATAATAATAATAATATACGAATAAATAAAGGCGTGGGTGTTAAATTAATTATTATTAAAAAAAATTAATTATCGCGTTTTTTGTTTTCATATTAGTATTAAACAATAAATGTAACTTAATAATAAACAATGTTTCAAACTTGATGAAAAACTTCTAATGAGGAGGGAGGAAGCTTTAGATGCATATACACGATTAGTATTATGATTAGCATAATCAATTTTGCTGATTAAAACATCGTCTGCCGTTAGAAGATATGAGATAAGTGAATAAAGATTAGAAATATATGGTTGGGTGGGTGAATGAGATTAAGGGGTGGGAAAGGAGGGAGGTACTGTCTTTGTTGATTTAAACAAATTAAATACTTACAAGTATGTTTTATCAACATACTTGAGTAAGTACAATAAACAAAAGTTTATTTTAAAAATTCAAGGTTTCTGTGCTTTCACAATCGAGGTTCCATTGTAGTTGCAGGACCAAATGATTCTTTTTGTTTTTTTCTTTTTTTAAATAAGTGTTTCTCTTAAGTATGTTCGAAGAATGAACGAGATGTGTATTGCTCATTCTCGTAAAGTAAAAAAACCGAGTCTTTGTTGAAGAGGACTTTGAAAGTACTTAAATGAAGTTAGTGAAAAACAAGTTTTTAACGCTGGTTAAAACGCAAAACATTTTGTATAGTCTATATTGTCCATATCAAAAAGAGTATTATTATTATTATTATTATTATATTATTATTATTTATGTTTTCTTGGGTACTAAAGTACCCCGAGATCCTTTCAGGCACATTTGTGGGGAACAAATTCAACACAAAGAGGCCTTGTATAAAGAATTATAATTCTATTGAATATATGACGTGAAAATTATTATTATTATTATTATTATTATTTTTCATTATTATTATCCATCACCATCATCATCATCATCATCATCATCATCATCATCATTATTATATATATAATAAATATAATATATAATTCGTGATATATTTCGATAAAAATAAATGTTCCACGGGTAAGCAATTTATAATAATATATAATTATAAACATAATTTGAAATTTTTCATACTAGAACAAATAATTAAATGGAAAGAGAGAGAAGAGTGTGGGAAAATAATGCGAGGGATATGATGGTTTTTTAGTATGTACACCAAATCGTGAGTTATTTTTTAATAAGTCGATTCAATGGTATATATATATATATATAAATAGATTGTTATTTATGGGGCTTATAAAATAAATATTCGAATTTAGAATAATTGACTGTACGAAATTGTAATGTTAATTTATTATATGATTGGTCGAAATAGGATAAAGAATTTCTTGGCAATTTTGCAATATATATATATACATACATAGATACACACACAACGAGAAGGATTTTTACGATAAATCAATGATTTATCTATGACGTGAAAAAAAGCACACACACACATATATATACAATACGAAAGACTATGGTATAATGTTGGATATCGGAATTGAAATTTGTTTTTCTGACTTGAGATGCAATATAACTATTATATAAGTAATAATAATAATAATAATAATAATAATAATAATATCTTTATGCTTCCACGAATATAAGATTGTTTACTTGATCGCATGGCATGACGATGATATAAATGCAAAAGAAAAAAAAAAAGAAAAAAAGGAAGAAAAAGAAAACGTTTTCGCAAATCGTTTCTATCGATCTATCATTTCAAGGATATTTTAAACACTTTTTATTATATACACTTTCTTAAAACCTTGATTCCTATATTATTTGCTCCATTAGTTAGAATATTAATAAATAAGTTTCACTCTTTTTTATATTGGAACTCGCGATCCGAAGATATTCAATTCTTCGATTATTAAATAAGAGTGGAAAATAATATTCGAGTCGTTTAATATAAATTCTTTTATTAAATCTAAATCTTCGAATGGTCATTGAAAAACTTGGAAAATATCGTTAACTTGTTTTTTATTCGTTGAAAAAAGTATTTTGTTCTTTCCTTTTTTTTATTTATTAGAAATGAAATATTTTGAAATTGAGATAATATTAATTGTCTTTATATTAAATTTCTTTTTTATTTTCTTCTTCTTTTTATTCTTTTTATTGTTCGTTCTATGTGTGTCTAGATTTTGATATAATTTGTTTATGATAATAAAATTATACGAATACGCGTAAGTGGTAATTCGAACACGCGATAGTTAATGTGCATAATTGATTTGATGATCCTTTGTCACAAATCGGATATAAATTTTTGATAAATGAAATAAATGAAATTATAAACACCGGCAAGAGAGAGAGAGAGAGATCATATAATTCTGGCAAAATTTTTCAT